CTGCAGGTGATCCGCCGGCACAACCAGGAGGAGAAGCTGCTGTGCCTGGTGCGCCACCGCGCCGGCCACCACTGCCAGAACGCCGTCATCATCATCCTCATCCTGGCGTGGGAGGGCATCCCGCGCACGCTGGGCGACACGCTCTACCAGGAGCTCACCGACACGCTCACCAAGTTCGGCAACCCCACGAGCCGCCGCTGCGGCCTCAACGACGAGTAAGTCCCGCGCCGGGATGCGCCGGGATGCTCCGGGCGTTCCAGCTCGCCGAATCCCCGTCCCGACGGCCGCCCGGCCCCTCTCTCCCGCAGCCGGACCTGCGCTTGCCAGGGCAAGGATCCCAACACGTGCGGCGCCTCCTTCTCCTTCGGCTGCTCCTGGAGCATGTACTTCAACGGCTGCAAGTACGCGCGCAGCAAGACGCCCCGCAAGTTCCGCCTGGTGGGCGACAACCCCAAGGAGGTGAGGTTTTCCAGCCGTTTGGAATGGGGGAAAAGCGGGAGGCCTCCCAGAACGGCACAGCTGACTCCCGTCACCTTCCTTGCTTTTGTTGCAGGAAGAGCTGCTCCGGAAAAGCTTCCAGGATTTGGCCACCGAGGTGGCTCCGCTCTACAAGAGGCTGGCGCCGCAGGCCTACCAGAACCAGGTACGGGCGCCCGGCGCGGACCCGGAGCGCCCCGGGAAGCGAGCGGGAAACGCGACGGGATCCCCCCCTTCTCGGCTCCGCAGGTTACGAACGAGGACGTGGCCATCGACTGCCGCCTGGGCTTGAAGGAGGGCAGGCCCTTCTCGGGGGTGACGGCGTGCATGGACTTCTGCGCCCACGCGCACAAGGACCAGCACAACCTCTACAACGGCTGCACCGTGGTGAGCGGCGGGGCCGGGCGTGTGCCGAATCCCTCTGTGCCCCGTGTGCCGAATCCCTCTGTGCCCCGTGTGCCGAATCCGTCTGCGCACAGGACCCCTAATCTGTCCGTGCAGAGCTCCAAATGCGTCTGTGTGCGGCACCCCAGATCATTCCATGTGCAGTGCCCCAAATCGTTCCATGTGCAGTGCGCTAAATCCATCTGTGCGTGGTGCCTTGAATCCATGCATGCTCCATGCCTGGAATCTGTCCGTGTGCAGTACCAGGAATCCCTATGTGCAGAGTGCCCGGGATCCCTCCATGCGCAGTGCCCTGAATCCCTGTGTGCACGGTGCCTCAAATCTGTGCACGCTCAGTATCCCGATTCCATCCGCGGACAGTGCCCCGAATCCATGCGTGCACCACGCCTGGAATTCCTCCATGCACCCTGCCCCGAATTTCTGCATGCACCGTGCCTGGAATCCATCCGTGCGCGGTGCCTCGGATCCATCCTTGCCCAATGCGCCGAATCCATCAGTGCGCGGTGCCTCGGATCCATCCTTATCCAATGCCCCGAATCCATCCATGTGCGTTGCCTCGGATCCATCCTTGTGCAATGCCCCGAATCCATCCATGCGCGGTGCCTCGGATCCATCCTTACCCAATGCCCCGAATCCACCCGTGCGCGGTGTCCCAAACCCCGCG